GCTGCTACTAATTTGTCAAGTGATAGATAGTCTACGGGAAGGAGTTCGAACAGGTTGACCAGTGGCAACAATTTTGCGAGTCACTGTATGTGGTACATCCTCGAAGTTATACGACGGTTTAAGTATTCTAGGGGAACGGTGGAGTAGAGCAGAAAAACTGGGATCCACTGGTCTCTCAATGCAGATATTATAGACAGGGTAACTGGAACTGATTCCATAAATTTTTAGTTGAGTGCTGTTATCAATCAGTTTTTTTTTACTGTTGACATCAACTAACAGGTTGAAGTTACTTAAAAAATCAGCCATGAGTATGACATTACCCACGCCGGCTACTGTAAAAATCCATGTGAAACGACGGCGTAAGCTCGGATCCAATACACGAGATTGTTTGCTGTACATCTGTATGCTTGGCTTCTGGAAAGACAGTTTTCCTGGTGTCCGAGTAGGTCGCCTGGATAGTGAAGGAGGGATCATGCTACCTTCATCTCCTGTATCTACCAGGAATAGGATGCCTGAAGTTTTGTCCTCCACATAGAAAAAGCGACTTGTTTGCTTGCCAATAACAGCTGTCGCCATCACTGTCTGACTGAAGCGTTTCCCTGAGCCCGATTATCTTCACTAAAAATACATTGTTTGACACTTCATATGATACCAATATAATGTTAGCTTCCCTAGAAGACGTACGTGAACTCTGTTGGGAAAGACCTTACTTGTGAACTTCGCCTCTGGACTCGTCGATTAGACCTATTAGTTTCCAACTTTTCAATCCTTGTCGCTGAGTTTGCAATGGCGTCAAGTATCGATGTATCTGCCGTGGGTGTGGGCTGAGACAGTGTTACACTGACAGTCACTACATGACCTACGCTGTTATCTGATAAGACTTCCATAGTACTATTGTGGTGAGAGCAGGCTGCTAGCCGATTGGTTGGCACTAATCTACGTTAAGGTCTAGGTCACTAATATGGGCCGTGAGAAAATATGAACAAGCATGAGTAAACAACCAATCAGAAGCCTGCGTTTGTCTACCTAAACAACCAATCAGATGACTGCGCTTGTCTATAATAATGTAGTTGAAAGATGTATAAATACGTGTTGATTTTCATAATAAAACGATCTGTTGCCTGGCCCTTGTCTTCTGTTGTTACACTATCTGCCATGTAGCGTAGTGGGTCTAAGTCAAACGGTTTTCCTGAGATGATTAAAATTTGTTGAACGTTTCTGGGTAAACGTGTCCAGTTAACTGGCGCATGTGTCTGAGGAGCTGTGTGGTCTACACGATCCTAACTCACAGCCCGTAAGTAATTGTTGAATTCTTCTTTTTTCGTCCGACAAACTGGTGCGTTGTATAAGAAGGACTTTAAGTTTGTCATACTGGTTTACCGTCGGGGAGTTTTCTATGAAGTCGCTTATTTCTATTAACACTGACGGAGGCAGTTCTGCCAGCATCACGCTATATTTGGCTATCTGAGACTTAATACCGCGTGCTTCCCACAATGGCCCAATAACTCCGAACCAAATCCTTGGCTCTGTGAAGCCATATTGTGGTAAACGAAAGTCAGTAATGGTATTTATTGGGGTCTGTGCCTCGTTGCAGTTTCTCTTCTCAGGTGGTGTACTCTGAACTAGGTCGTGTCCTTATTCAATCTCAATTAAACAACCATAATGTGCAGTGAATTCATTATTTTTACTATTTTACAATGGACGTATGCGTCAGTGGCATAGCGGTTAGGACGCTCGCCAACCATGCACCTCGTCCGAGGTTCGATCCTCGGCCACAGACACACTCCTTTACCTCGCTAAGCCAGAAATAATGCTGGTAAAGAGGAAAGGTTGGGCATGAGGCTGGCTAGCAACCCAATCCTGTAAAGTAAACACTGCTATAGAAACTCCAAGCCACTAGCTTGAAGTTCTATGTTCCACTTAGGAACGTGAAGGAAAAAAAAACAATGGACGTATAATTTGATATTTTTCAGCCTCCACAAGTCAGTCAATGAAAGCCATAATTGTTAGTATCTGCCAGCCAGTCACATAGACAGGTGTAGACTTCCTCACTGGTTGAGGTCTACAGGACGGTAAGAACCAATGACGGCTGGAGACGACAGTTGGTGATATGGATCGAAATCGTTGAGAATAGCGCAGATACATTCACTGTTTGTGATTTGGCATATCCAATAAATCCCTATTGTGTTTTACATGTTTAAGACCAGTCAGTTATCTGAGGAGAAATTGATGTGGCAGTCGAATGAAGATACAAAGTGTCACTACATGAATTTTACTGACTTTTGCTTAAAACTTTGTGTTTGTCTGTGTGTTTGCATGAAATAGACATACATAATCAAAGGGATCTACGTTTAAAGTTCACGTGTGATATGCCTTTGAATTGGTCTCAGTGGATAGTGCACACATCGTGTACACATCAGTGTTTATCATCTTACCTGTTACAAAGCGTATCTTTATTTCATTCGTCATTCTTCCTTCGTATTGTCTCTATACAACAACAACTACTACTGGTTAATGTACTTGTATTTGGTTGCTTGTTGTTTATGAGATGTGGTAGTTCGATGTGCTTTAAATCGGGAAATTACTTGAGCTATCCTAGTGTATTGTATTTAGAAGTATTATCATTATTATGATTATCATTATTGATGTGAGTGTAAAACTTGCGCACTGTAGTAGAATGTAATGCCAAGTTAGCCAAGTTTATTTCAAATATCACACTTTGCATATATCCAGTATAGGGGTTGGGTCATTTTGATTGTACGTGTTCGATGTTGAATCGATAACTAAAGATACAGTGGTTAGCCTCCCCCCTCCCCCTCTCTCTCTCACTTCACCTAACTATATTCCTCTCACCCTGACCCACACAACCTACAATGTGATCACAGGCAAGTGAAGGCAATGCAATCGCTGACCTCTGTTTTTTCTAGGTTATCTAACTTACCAGTAATTGTCAGTAATTCTAGGTCTAGCTGGATTCCTCTGTCCCAATGATCTAGTTGACCTCAATCCACTAGTTTTACCTGTGTGTAATTGACCTCACAGTCATTAATTGCATGATCAGGTCCTTAAGCTGACAGAATTTATCACTGAGGTTGTTGGTTGGTTGGTTGATTGATTGGTTTAAATGCCACCCCGACTAATTCCAGCCTCTTTGGAGATCCTAGGCAAAGCCTCTGACGACTTTTCTTCTTTATGCAGGAGTACTACATAGGCTTTGAATTCTTCATTATTTTCGTCATTTTCACTACTGATCTTATATTTCCTAGGGGTCTCCATTCACTTCTGGTGGTTAGTGTGTTATTCACCAGTGATATTTACCTTATTTCTCTGACTTCAAAATTGAAGTCTTCTTTCTTTCTTATTAGTTAGTTGGGCTGTTGTGGCCTGTTTAGTATAGACATTTAACTAGACCTATCTTCACCGATTCTGGATCGGATGAATAAATTCTAAGGATTTACTAGAGTTTGTCGGTTTCCTGTAAGCACTAGCATAGTCAACTCACCCTATTCATTTTGTAACTCAAAAGTGAATTGGATTCCGTCTAATATCGTGTTTGTATGTGGGAGAACCTGGGCGGGGCGAGGGGGGCTATGTTGGGATTTGAACACAGTGATGAAATGTGTCATCCAAAGATATCTGCAGCATAACCCAAGGTGGAGGTGGATTAAATGTTCTCAACGCTTTATATTTCCCAGCTGTTCATAAATGTATCTGTCATTGTTGAGGATGTTGTTGATCCTAATGCCACCCCTTTTAGTTGTTTGTACAAACGAACTGTATTTTTTTTTTATTCAACATCGAAAACGTGCAATCAAAATGACGCAACGCCTATACCGGAAAAATGCAAAGTGGCTACAAACAAACGGGGGGAAGTTGGAGAGGCAGAAAGAAAGAAAATATATACGTACGATAAATTCTGTTGCCGTGTAACTAAATTGATATAATTATCTGTAGCAACAATGTTTTCTGGAAACCGTGTCATCCGGTTACTACTACTAATACTGCATCACCAGTGTGTGGTGGAGCACGTTGACCGCTTCACTTACCGGGGAAGTGCCATCAGCCAGTGCCAACGGGTTGATCTCTGACGAAATCTCAGCTGAGTACGGATACAGAGGGCTAGTTTCGCATATGCCAGTTTACACCGACTCTGGCGTAGACGAGATATTCGACTATCGACCAAAGGGCGGGTGTACTGCTCATCAGTCCGCTCCGTCCTCCTTTATGACTGGTTGTGAGACCTGGCCATTGAGAGTGAAAGACATGAACAGCCTGGCTAGCTCTCTTTGATCATAGGTGCCTGCGTTCTATCTCCCGTGTGAAGTGGCATAATAAGGTGAGCAATATTGAGGTTAGGCGTCGAGTGCTAGGTAAACAGGGGAAATCAATAGACGAGGTTGTTGAAGTTATATCGACTGAGATGATTTGGACATGTGTTACGAATGCCTAGTCATCGCCTTCCTCGACAACTGGGAAATGTTAGCTGACGTAGGGTCAGGCTGGAAAAGATCCAGTGGTGGTCAAACCAAAAATGGCTTCATCAGTCAATGAAATCAACAACAGTTAGTTTAAGCCAGCTAGCCACGTATGAAGGTGTAGACTTCCTGGTTGGGGTCCTCGGGGCGGTAAACACCAATGGCTGAACGCAATTGATTATATGGATCACAATCATTCTCGGTGATGGCTGGCGCAGATGCATCCACTACCTGTGACTTATAATTTCTAATGAAACTATATTGTTCTTCGTTCGTTGTTACTATTCCTTTGTCTCATATCTCTATTTACTGTTTGTGTTTTGCTTTTATTCTACTTTCTTCTCTTCATTTGTGTGCTACATGAAGAGTGTGGCGACTTGAAATGCCGCACAGTGGTGCAAAGTTCTATGTCGAAAACTGACATATATTTGAAATAAACTTGTCTACCGTAGAATTATTATCATGCACCACCTGCAAACCGTATGCTTATTTTTGTGTTTTTTTGTTTTGTTTGGTTTCTTTTAGATCGTCTTTATTTCTTATCGTGTAAAACGCCACCAAGAAGCACTTCTGCGATTCATTTCTTTTCAACAGATGATGAACTGTGCTATGAAAAGTATGTGTGTTGATTTGGCAATTCACCTCTATCTCGCTCACTTCTTTTTCTCCTCCTCTCACCCCACCCTTAGCTTTTATACCGATTTTGGACCGTTAAGTCTTGGCCAATTGTATAAGTATTGCAATAAGTTGAACAAAAAGCTCAAGGTAATGTTAATAATAATAGTTTTCTCTGTTTTCTATTTGTCGTAGGAGTAGTAGAATTTTCTAGATATCTCGGACAGGTGTTGAATCATTCCTATTACATGTATTCCCTGTCAGTTGATTCGACAACACAAAGCTTCTGTTATCAATCTTCTCCACTCGCCACCCTGTGACATTAGATTTTAAACCTGTCATGTTATCCCATCCTATATTGTATGGTTGTGTGTAACTGCGTGTACTAAGTGCTATAGCTGAACTATTCTCTAGATTTCTTATCTTATTCGGTCGGGTCAACTAATCTAGATTTTGCCAGATTTGTATGTTCGGCTAGTCTGACTGACTGCCCCTGTTCCACTACTTTGACCTATGTATTTGACTTGACAATCATCTCATATACGTCGATGATACTTTTGTTGTTTGTAACGACATGAGTCAGGCATCTGTATTATTTGACCGCCTAAATGAGGTCCACCCAAACATTAAATTCACCATGGAATACGAACACAAGGATGAGTTCAATTTCCTGGACCTAAATGTAAAAAGAAGAAACGATAGAACGGTCGAAAAGTTCATCTACAGGAAAGAAACTTGAACCGGACAATACCTTTATCACAACAGCTTCTGCCGTATGACCTATAAGCGGGGATTAATAAGGACACACTATACGACAGGGCGGTGGAAGTTATGTTCGCCTAATAAAATAGAAGAAGAATTAAGAAGCTTTGTTGAAAAATGCCTTAAAGAAAACAGGTATCCAAAAGTATTTATCGTAAAGTACAGCAAAGAAGAAGAAGAAGAGAAAGAGAAGTCCCCAACAGTTAAAAATAAGAAAGTGTTCATTCGCCTCCCGTACAAAGGAGAAACAGTATCGCGAAAGATTGAAAAGAGGATGAAGGAAGCAATAAAGAGATGCTTTCCTGCAGCCAATCTGGTGACACTATGCAGTACTACATGCTCTAAAGGCGGCATTCGACTCTGTCGACGGAGAAGTTCTCTGGAGATGCTTGGCTATAAAGGGAATGCCGAGAAAATATATTGCACTGATTAAGGCACTCTACTCGTACTCATGCCATCAGCCAGGTGAGGGCTTACGGCGAGTTGTCATCTGAACTCGTGACGACTAGTGGTGTCCGTCAAGGATGCCCATTATCCCCTTTTTCTATTCATCTTCATCATAGATGTACTAATGGACTTAACCCTAAGTGACTTCGGCGACTCAGGGATTGACTTGTTACCAGGGAATAATCTCGTTGACTTAGAATATGCAGACGATATAGTCCTTCTAGGTGAGGACGCTGACAAAATACAGCAGAGTCTTCTAAACACCTTTAGCCGTAATCTACGAATGTTTGGCATGCGATTCGCTCCCGCCAAATGCAAGATGATGTTACAGGACTGACTGGACTACACCGACTCCTAGATTAGAAATTGGGAAGTGAAGTGGTAGAGCACATTGACCGCTTCACTTATTTAGGAAGTACCATCAGCCAGTGCCAGCGTGTTGATCTCTGACGAAATCTCAGCTGAGTACGGATACAGAGGGCTAGTTTCGCATATGCCAGTTTACACCGACTCTGGCGTAGACGAGATATTCGACTATCGACCAAAGGGCGGGTGTACTGCTCATCAGTCCTCTCCGTCCTCCTTTATGACTGGCTGTGAGACCTGGCCATTGAGAGTGGAAGACATGAACAGCCTGGCTAGCTGTCTTTGATCATAGGTGCCTACGTTCTATCTCCCGTGTGAAGTGGCATAATAAGGTGAGCAATATTGAGGTGAGGAATCTGTCGAGTTCTAGGTAGGTGGAAGGGGAAATCAATGGACGAGGCTGTGAAATTACATCGACTGAGATGATTTGGACATGTGTTACGTATGCCTAGTCATCGCCTTCCTCGACGAGCATTGTTAGCGGATATAGGGTCGGGCTGGAAAAAAGCTAGCGGTGGTCAAACAAAAACTTGGCACCAGTCAATGAAATCCACAACAGTTAGTCTAAGCCACGTAGGAAGGTGTAGACTTCCTGGCTGGTTGGGGTCCTCGGGACGGTAAAAGCTAATGGTTGGAAACAATTGGTGACATGGATCAAAATCGTTCTCAATGGCTGGCGCAGATGCATCCACTCCTTGTGACTTATGATTTCCAATGAAACTGTTTTGTTCTTTGTTATTACTCCTCCTTCACCTCACACCTCTGCTTACTGTCTCTATTATTCATTTCTTCTACTTTCTCCTGCTTCGCGTGCTACACGGAGTGTGGCGACTTGAACTGTCGCACATATGTCCAAAGTCCTATGTCGAAAACAGACAGACAGAGACAGATAAGGCAATCGAAACTGGAGAAGTACCCTGCTGATGTTACCTCCAACTGCATTTATAAATTTGCTTGTACCTGCGGCAGCAAGTGCATTTTAAGGACAGAGAGAAGGGCTTCTATCCGGTTTTCAGAGCATATTCCAAGAAACTTATCCCTAAAAGGAAGCAGATATTTACAGAGTGCAATTACCAGACACTCACAGTGTGGATACGGGTCATTTTCCCAAGATTTCCAAATCCTTCAAAATATTAAACATACAAAGGACAGCGAATCTACTACGATTTACTGCTGAAGCAATTACTGCAATCAAATGTCACACACCAAACTTATGCATACAGAAAGAGAGTGTGGTCAATCTCTAACTCCCTTGGTAGCCATATCACTTTCATTACACTGATTAGTCATACACACTAGTGAGCTCAACTCACTAAGCAAGTTTTCAAATTGATGAACCTTGACCTTCCTGAGTTGCTATGTTGACACTGTTTATTAGATTTTTCTGTTTTCTGTCTTCTCTCACACCCCCCTTCTGTTTCTTCTTTCATAGTTTGACAGTATATAAATTGATGGTGAATTAGATTATAATACCTATATTCTAGATGCGTTCACCTTTCAAACAATGAAGTATGAAATATTATTTATAACCATTGTAATTTCAGGTAGTTTGCAGCTGATGAGAACCTGTGAAATAGAATGATATCATATTATACTGCAAATCTAGTCTTTCTTTCTCTATCAAAATGTATCAAGGGAACCAAATGTATGAAATTGTATTGTTTTAAAGGCTCCAGAGGATTGATCCTTTAACCGACAAAGCTTGTTTCTGCTTTGTTAAGAATTCTGCCTAAGGTTTCCGAGGTTCCTTCTTTGTATGGAAGTACTACTGATGATTTAGATTCCTTATTGTTGGTGTTGTCTTGAGCATGTTTGGCGTGCATGTCGTCATTAATATTACTATTATAATTATTACTATTATCACTATCACTACTATTATTATTTATCTTATTTTTGCATTTTCCTGCAGACTTCCCGATTAATTTGTCAGGATAATTATTAAGTTTCAATGCTTCTCTCACATGCCTCACTTTCTGTCCTAGATTTTCCTTGGTACTACTTAGTTTTTGTATCCTATTAGTCAAACACTTCATCAATCCTATTTTCACTGATATAGGATGGGATGATCGGAAGTCCAAATGTATCTGTTTGAATGTATGGGTTTCCTGTAAACACACACACACACACACTAGTGTATTTAACTTCCCATCTTCTTTCCTTTTTACGGCACAATCTAACATTGGAAGCTCCCCAGCTTCCTGATTTTCCAATTCACCATAAGTGACTTGAATTGCCTCCACCTTTGAGTTATAATGTGTTTGAAAAATCTATCTACATCCTGTGTTCTTAGTACAGTGAACTTGTTATTTACATGCCTCTACCATACTTTTGGGGTGGATGGGGTTGAACATTTCAATGGCTTTCTTTTTTCCAACCTATTCATGAATATATATTTTCTACAACCGGGGATATTGGTGATCCCGTGGCAACTCCCTCAGCATGTTTGTATATTTTCCCTTGGAATTTAAATACTGTAGAAGTCAGGCATAGCTAGCTGCAATCCCAGTATTATGTCCTCAAGTGGCACTTTTGTCCTAAGTTCGAGTTCGAGTTCTTGGTCAGAAATAAATTGAGTTCGTTTCTGACTGCCACTATATATAGCCATATTTATTATCGGTATACGTGTATATAAACTAAGCCAATGTCAAAACTAACCATTATTTTTTCTTCTTCATGTGTGTACACAATGTTAGTCAGCCAATTTGAACGAGAAACGGATTGCACACTTTACATCTTATGATGCGCGTAAACGCGCCAATGCTGCCTTTCTTATCGGAAGTTATCAAGTCATATACTTATCACGGACACCAGAGGAAGCGTATAAACACTTAACACTGAATGACAATCGACCATTCCTACCATTTCGGTAAGCTTTTTACAAGTGATTGTGTTTTTGTTGTTGTTGTTGCTGGTGTTAATTTTTACCGGGACTATTGAAATTGTACAAAATGTGATGAGTGATGAGTCGGCATTTTTCTTTATTTTTTTTTCATTTATAAATAGCTGTGTCGTTTGTTTATAACCTAGTCATTAGTGTGCTAGTCAAATTAGACTAGATCGAGTTTGTTTGAATTGATGGCTGTAGTATTAAATGCCATTTTTTATATCGATTAACCCTGAAACCTTGTAGCCTTGTTTCCTAATGAGTGATTTTCAATATTGGACAGTCTATCTGAGTGGTTTGTGAGGAAGAAAATATCCACTCCAGCCATTTCAAATAGCCTCCAAAGCCTCGGGATGATCGGGGGTGGGTGCCTTACGCTGCGGGTTGGCCACCCCTCCGTACACCTCTTGAAATACTCCCATATGACCGGGCGTCTTACATAGCCTCTCCTGAGGAAGTCCTCAGTCCTCACTGTCTTTACGTGGCGGAGGTGTTTTTCACCACCGAAGTGAGAGGGCAAAAGCGGATGGATGCCCGGCGCTCTTCACCGGGTTGACTTTCCATTAGATGACAGTCTAGGGGAGATGGCTAAACTCTGCCTGATTCCAAACCTCCAACTACTGGCGTATGAAGCTCACCAGAGCTCACCGGCAGATGTATGGACAGAGGGCATATTGGATGCCCTAGATGTCTGGCCCCATTCAAAAAGGCGTGTGAACCGGACTCCAGTCACCGTACTCCGTACTCCACTCCTACTGCCTTGTAGGTCACGCTTGGTTGTGTAAAGGCTAGAGCTGCACTCTCAAACAAAAGGCTGAGCGATGCTGGGGACATCACTCGTACCTAATTCCCATGAAACTTCATGAACTCTCGTTGCTACAACATCAACCAACTTCAAGTACTGTGGGTCCAACAACGTCGCCTTCGGTGGTTTGGCCATGTTCTGAGCCGACCAGATGACGATCAGGTCAAATCAGTTCTAAATCCCTCGCCATTTCCATCTTGGCGATGTCGCAGGGGTGGACAGCTGAAAACATGGCTTGGTACAGTCAAGGCTGATATGGAGTGCCTGAGCTGGGGCTACAAACCTTGCTACGGACTCCATCTGTGGAGCAAGAATTGGATAACCCTGTGGCAAAACCTTGTATCAGATCGCCGCGCCTGGGCAGCGATGATTCGAGATGTTCATGAAGCCGGTTCATCCCCCGTAGGAGATAGCCGAAGTAAAGTAAGTAAGTAAGATTTCAAATATTAAGCATAGTCAGTCAGGCGTGTCGGTGTTTCACCGGTGGAATGCTCTGCTCACGTTTGGCAGTACGTGTGTGATTCCGTGTAGTTCGATTCCCAGTAGGCACACTCCTCGACCTCGCTTTGCTGGTAGAAAGTCATCCGATACAGAGGATAGTTTGAGTATCAGAGGTTGCCAATCTTATCTTGCTCGTTAAATAGACAAAAAACACCACTGCTGCTGAAACTTCCAGGCTGAAACTTGGAGCGCCCTGTGTTCCCGTTGGAAGTCGTACTAGACTGTAGTTCCCTTCAGGGAAGGAACGAAGGAAGAAACGAAGTGCGCGCTGACCAAGGGAAGAAGTTCTGCTTGCTTAATTTGTCAGTTATCTGAAATGAGAACAGGAAAAGTGTTTCTTTGAAGAGATTAGTGTTAACTTTTTGTTTTGTCACACTGCATATCGCACACAAAGAGGGGGGGGAGTAAAAAGGGCAGAATTTATTGTGTTGTTTGATACTAGTTAACTGACTAGAGAGTGATTTGTTACTGGAGCTGGGGCTGCTTTATTTTCAATGAAGCACCAGCCTCACTCCCAATCTACCCCACTCAGAGTAATGTTTCGCTTCTCTATTTCTATCGCTTCATAGCTTCATAGGTCTTATCAATATTAAAGCTTGTAAAGTATTCGGCAAAGAATACACACAAAGAATAAAGGACAAGAGGTCAGTTGCGACCTCTAATAGACCAGTGGTAACGTCGCCGACTGCATCACTCACTCACTCACTCACTGGGTGACATGGATTCGAATCTTAGAAGAGACATAAATCCCTTAAAGTTTGTAGATATGCCTTGTTGACTGGCGAGTGCCAAGTAGCATGAAACCTAGGTTCAAGTCTTCCTGTGGCCGATTGCCTTCAATCATCTAATATACACTAATATACAAACATCTAATAATACACTCTGATGGAGACTTTGCAAACGTGACTGATGGAAGTCAAGTCTACATCAAACAATGGACTAGACACATTGCTAACTAGTATCCGACCAGAATAAATCACAATTATAAGGAATTTCGGCTTTGATCACAAACTGACATCGGTTAGAGAACCGTTAGAATACCCAACAGGAAGTACTGGACAACTGTTTCTACCTTCCTTATATGAGAATCTTCAACAGTACGCGTTCACCAGGCTTCGAACCTAGGGTCTTCCGGTTACAACTCAAGCTCGTAGGTCATCCAGCCACCGAGTGGGACGTGATTCAATGGCCCGTGGATTCAATTGATAGAATTCAGAATTCGATGGTATTAGATGGTTGGAGGCAATCGGCAGGAAGCCTTGGACCTAGTTACTAGTGTCAAATCAAAATATTCACTACAGTCCTACAGGAGGTCAATCGCGGGCCCGAATAGCTCAGTGGTAACGTCTCTGACTGCAGCACTGGGTGACGCGGGTTCGAATCTCAGAAGGGACATGAGTTCCTTCAAGCTCGTTGCAGATACGCCTTGCTGACTGGTGAGTGTCAACTATGACGAAACCTATGTCAAAGGCTTCCTGTGCCGATTGCCTCCAACCATCTAACACCATCAAATCAATGTTCATCGTGATGGCGAGCTAGCTAGAATGGTGGTCACATTACAACCTGACTTATAGAATTCAGTCTACACTAATCAAAGGACTAGACGCATCACACTAGTTACTAGTGTCAAATCAGAATTTAGAATTCTCTGTGGTTCAATGGTCTACGAGCTCGCCTTCTAACTGGTAAGTCCTGAGTTCAAACCCTGGCGGTTGAGTACTTCTGACTGGTTCGGAACTAGGATAAAACAGCTGTTCGGAACTCCCAGGTTTTCCAGCTCGTAGTCATCCTTGAAAGATACGAAAATCCCTGATAAACCAACTTTTAAAAACAGTATTTAGCGGTTAGGCATACCGTGTTAATAACAAGCAGCATATTTCAAAGTTAATATCTGCTTATTAAGCTGGGGGATAATATTGTTCTTTCTACAGTCATTAACTACTTGTTAGCAAGAAGATAAATATAGACCCAATGTATTTTCACCGTGGCAGTGAAATGCGGTGGGTGAGGGGCGGCGTGTCGTATGTGTTACTCACCACTTGACTATAGACATCTCTAGGTTGATGCATCATCATACTCCGTCTTGTCTGAGGGAAATTGAATTATCGTTTAGTCGAATAGTTTCTTCTTCTTCTTCTTCTTTGAATTTTCTGTATTTTTTGGTCTTTTGTCATCTTTCACACACACACACACACGCACGCACACACACACACACACACAAACACGGATTGATGGTTATCAGCTGGGGTTTTGTGTGTACTTTTCCTAAGATAATGTACTTGTTCGCACAAAATGCTCATATGGTGATGCGCAGTGTGAAAGTGTGACACTAGTTTAATCTAGTCTCTTTATATGTGATAGATAGATAGATTATCGATTTTATGTTGAGTATTATTATTATTGTCATTACATATAGTCTAATAGACACTACCTACTGGAATGTGTACTATAGTCCCCTCTTGTTGTAAAGTGTGACTTCTATAAGGCAGCTTAATGAGACAATTCATTGTTATAAAAGTCTTTGTATTTCCCAATGAATACGAAATAAAAGACAGAACGATATTTGCGCTTGCTGACGTTTTGCCATTAAATGATAATTGGCTTTATCAAAGCAATAACAAGCTAGAAATTATATATATATATATATATATAATCTCCATTGATAGGGAGTAATTTAATCACGAGTTTTCCAGCATGAGATAGTTTTTACATCAGCTGTGTGAGTGAATTGTCTTAAAGACTTACGAACCAACGAGCGTAGATTGTTAGATTTGATGATTAGTGTGTAGAATTATAACAGCAGCATGTGTTTTACACAGTAAAATTGTTTGTCACACATTTGTGTGTTGAATTTTCGCCTATCACTTCACGGGGTTGGCTGGAACCCAGTGGAATTCAGTCTAAGTCGGTCATTCTTATTGAGATGTTTATTTGTGATTTCTGAAATTTGTCTGGATTACTATTTCAATATTGTCAAAATCAATTTTATGACCTGATTCTGTCTATAGCGTCTAGACGACCTATGGCTAGTTCAACTGGATTTCTCGATGGTCGAACAGAGATGTTCTACGGTGTTCATTCTTTCGGACTATAACTTTGATTTCTCGTCATGTCTGTCCGATGTTTACTGCATCACATTCCAAGCATTTTATTTTATGGGCACAATTAGATAGAGCATCTTTAGGGATTTGGTCTTTTATATGGACAAGGTTGCTTCCCACTGTGTCTGATGTTTAGAGGAAACACCCTGATATTGTGCTTATTGAGTCTTTTTCTCATAGTGTCTGATAACTGTAGCGTCCCGTCTTCAGTGTAGGTCTTCGACCATATATATTGTCGGTGTTGATTTTGTTAGTGGTGAATTTCTTCGCGTAGTTGTTTTTCTAAAGAGAATTTCAGTAATATGTTTGATATTTCTTCTTCATTCGCCTTCTCATCCGTTAACATCAAAAAGAGTGTGCTCGTCGTCTAAGAAGACTTGAAACAACTAATACGTTTGCGTTGATGGGGTGTTGTGATGACCCGAAGTCTACACATTTGTTGAAGGGTGTTTTCTTCCTGAATATAGATAGATATATCAAAATCTCCGTTCTCCCTCCTCTTGACTAAGAAGTCTACAAAGTGTAGAGCTCACTGAAGTCTGTCTCATTCTGCTTCCGAAGTAAACTGTCTCCTG